GCGGTGGTGGGTGGGGAGGGCTCGGGGTGCGACTACAGGTGGAGGAAGGTGCTGTCGGGGTGGAGGGTCCCAGCGCACCCGGGGGGCAGGGGCAGTTGGGCGGAGGGAGGCGTGGCTGGATGCAGGGCCCAAGCCAGCGGTCTCAGCACCCGTCTCTACCCAGGGCTGCAGAGGGACCCCCGAGCGCTTCGTGCCGCTGGGCTGGCGAAGCTGCAGCCCGCGGACCCCGTGAGCCAGGACCCACGCGGGAACCAGGACCACAGCCCGGAGCCAGGCGCGTGTCCGTGGAAACCTGGGCGGAGCTGAGGCCGAGAACGCTGCGCTGTTGCAGAGAACCCGTGTCCTCGCCGGTTTTCCTGGGTGCCCCGCACCTGGCATCCCCGCGCCTGCCCCGGCCCCTCCAAGCCATCCTGGGAAAGACACCAGCCCGGGGGTCCCAGGCGGACGCTGGTTCATTCGTCCCGCATTTGTCCAAGTCTTGGCGCTGCCCAGGCTCTCCCACTTACGTTTCCTCCCATGTGGTGCCCAGCATGGGCGCTGAGGGAGACCCCAGAGCTGGACCATGCGATCCCTTTGCAGTTGGGCTTCTTGGCGCACGGAAGTCAGTGGGCCGTGTGGCCCTGCTGCCCTGGAGACCCAGACATGGAAAGACTCCCCCTGCCACCCCAGGCCTTGTCCAGGAGGTGGTTGGGGCCTGTCTGTGATCCAGTGGCCTGGCTCTTCATGGATACTGAGCCAGGCCAATCCCGAAGCCCTCAGAGCCAGAGACAGAGCCCCCGTCCTGGGGTTGGAGAGGGTGGCCAGGCCAGGGCAAGGGCCTGGCTTCGCCATCCTTCCTGGGCCTTGGGACCGGCACCAGCCACACCCCATGGGCCATCCCCACACGAGGTCACTTGCTACTGGCTGCCTGCAGCCCCTGCCTGCATCATGGTGCTGGGAGGACGCCTTCAGGCAACTGCGTGTCATGGTGGGGGCCCGTCCCAGTGAGGCCTGGAGACAGTGAGATTCGGGTGTGAGGGGCTCGGGGTGGGAGGGACATTGTCCTTTCTCAAGGATCCTGCTGGCCGTGCCCATGGACGTCACCTAGGACACCTGCCATGGCTCAGCGGCCCCCCAGTATAAGGAGAGTTGGACACCAGGCTGACAGGCGAGGCCCAGCTGCAGTATCTGTCTTACAGCCCAGTCAGCATGGAACAGTGGGTGACAGAGACCGTCCTGGGCCACCCCCAAACATACCTGCCTGCTGACCACGCTGTAGTGTGGAGGCCAGCACCGGGCACTCTGCAAGGCACCATGGCCACAGGCATACTGTGGGTTGGGGGGTGCTTAGCCTCATGGACTCTGCCCAGCAATGACTGCATAAGTTCCAGCCCATGGAGGTGGGAGCAGGGCCGATGTGCTGGCCCAGGAGGCAGGGAGCTGGGCAGTGGGAGGAGGCAGAAAGGAGGGGGGAGTTCATAGCCATGGCAGGCCCCTGCCACCTTCCCTCCCCTGGGACCCAGCCCCAGAGCTTGCTTCCCAAGCTCCCTCCTGATGCTCCTTGAGCCCACGGTGTGAGGCCCATGGTCTCTCCCAGTCTGGGGGTCCTGTGGGTATTCCAGGCAGAACACCTCAGCTATACACTCCCTCCATCCCCCACCATACACACACACATGCATGTGCACACACACATACAAACACACATGTGCACACACACACACACACACACACGTGGGGCAGTGCCCTCCCAGGAAAAGAGGCATGAGCTTCTGTGCTGCCAAGACATATAGATTGGGCTGGACACAGGGACTCTGGGCCTGTCCAGGAAGAGAAGAGCCAGATCGCCCAGAACCACACCCTGGTTCTCTCCAACCCCCTGCCCCGGCTGGAAGCAAATGGGAAGCAGTAAGCTTCTGCCCAAAAACTTTCCTACACATTGGATGCTCCAGATAAGAAGAGGGCTCAGAACAGCTGCCTGAGCAGAAGCCAAGTCCCTGAGTTCCCAGCCTTGGGGGCTGCCCTCTGGAGTGGGGGGCCTCACAGTGAGGACTGAACGGGGTGGGGGTGGCCTCTTGAATCTGGAGGGGAGGCAAGGGCTGAGGACTTGGGGTGGAGTCTTAGGTCCCAGGAGAGGGCTCTCCCTTAGAGGCCGGGGCTGAAGCCAGGGGCTCTGGGGTACCAGTGCCCAAGACAGATTCTGCCCCCCTTTGCCAGCCCAGCCAGCTTTCCAGGGCCCTTGTCTACTGTCCCGGCCTCACGAATGCCTGAAGGGGGTGCACACAGGTGATGCCTTGATCCCGCTGGCCTGGAGCTATCTCTGCTCCAGTGGCCGCCCTGTGGGGAACCCCATTAGGG